CGTTGGCCTAGCCAGAATGCCATGGCCTGTAAGAACTATATAAGTATTATATAAGTCTATGTACTGGCGGTTGCCAGGCGACTGGAGGCTGGTTCCATTTTGCATCATTGGTTCCAGTCGACTGGAACTCCTTCCTATTGACTCTATTTGGCTGGTTTTCCTCAAGATGCTTTTCCATCAGACCCACCCTACTCGTTTGGACCTCCCTTGGTAGGAGGAATCTGTTCATTGTTCACGAAAGGTAGCCCTTTAGGGGATACCTTGAGTTTGTCTTGCGAAGCAAGTGTTGGGACGTCCGGGTCTAATAATTGATCGCTCAATTCAGACCCCCCCCCCCCCCCCCCCCCAAATCAATTTTCTCCTGGAGATCGTCTTCGTGAGCCTCTCATGATTTCAGGATAGTTGAAACCCTCTTGAACATTCAGAAAGAGTGAATATGAAATTCTACTCACGAAAGGTGTTCTGTGAAGCGCGTCAATTCTCTCCTGGGGAGCGTCTTCGTGAGCCTCTTATGGTTTCAGGATAGTTCAAATCCTATGATGTTCCGATTCAATGCTCACCGATGATCTGAGCCATGGGGCAAGTTTGTTTTCCTAAGAATCTTTTTGAACATTTCGAGAGAAAGGTCGCCTCCGAGGGGATAAATCACCATGTCGAACATTGCATTTTTTGTTCCTGCCTCTCGTGTTCTCTTCTCTTCCCGCTGTCCTACCTTTCGTGTCTCCCTCCTCTCAAGTTGGTTCCATGACGCCAGCCGCGAGGCGTCGAAGACGACGGGTGGAGCGCCGGGCCAGGCGCGTTGGTCTTCGGCGCGCGGGAGGGACCGCGCGGTCCCTCGTGGGGTGGTGGTGGGGTGGGGTGAAACCGCAGCAACAGCGAGGGACTTGGGCTATCTTGGTCTTTTGGGGCAGAAGTCCCAGTGGTGGAGTTTTGGGCTGGAGGGGCTTGGAAGGTCAACTGGTACCGAATTTGGATTGGGGGTTTGGAGGTCACGGGGTGCTGCCGCGGCTACAGGACCATGATCGACCAGAAAAAAACACTGGACCAGTCCTACAGGATCTCTTAGACGGTGGAACCACCAGCTGCAAATGGAAGGAGTTGACAACCCGCGGTCGAAAAGGGCCGTTCGCCTGGATGATGAGCAAACCAGCAAAGGAAAACGAGCAAAACGGAAAGGTGCAACGGGCAACGGATCTCATGCATAGCGCGGTTCTCTGGGACGAAGAAGGCATACTGCTCGATCTGAGGTGTTGGGTCAAGAACATGATCTGCGCCCTGGTCCCACTTCCAAAGTGCTAGCTGCTCTGCTCGTTCGTTCGTCAGGTTTTACTGGTCGTCCCTCCCGGAGTGTCCTGCCTCGGTCGACCAGGGATGTCTCAGTCCCATGACTGGGTCGTTCTGCCGTCGCGCAGGAGCTGTGAGGTCGTCTGTGACCGTGGGCGAAGGGGCCAGCACGGTACTGGGTGAAGTGACAAATACCAGAATGTTCCATAGCCATCCATCCATTGCTGTCCCAAGGCTCACAACTCTGGGATCCGGGCTAAGCCTAGCTGCTAGGCTTTCACGATCCAACGGGTTTTCAACATGTAGCCTTAGCGTTCTGCAGGCCAGGTGCGATGCTCAGAATGTGGGGCCTCAGGCTTTTTTAGGGTAAGCCGATTGTAGACGGAGCCCCATCTTTGCATTTGGGAGTTGGCGCCCCGCTGCATGTGACAACAGTATTCCCTACCAGCCACCGGCACCAGCCGAAAGCAACATGTGGGATCGGTTGGAGAAGTCAATCTCGCCAACTGGTCGGGAAGGAAGCAATGAAGCGCCGAACGGACCAAGTCTGGTACTTTTGCTACTGGGGTTCAGCTGTGGGCCACCAGCACCACGGGACCTGAAGGCCAGGCTTTTTGTTTCATGGCGTGGATCGACGGTTTTGCATGTTGAGCTCGGCCCTCATAGTCACAGAGTCATATATTCTGCTTGTTTGATTGTTGTAAAGGTCCCTCAGAGTGAAGGTCATTGGGGCGGCAACCTTGCACCACTTGCTGAGTTTTGAAGCGAGCCTCTAGCTTTTTCCACGGTACTAGGCTTGCTGGTTTGGCTGGTTTGAGATCAACGAAGGTTGTCCTGCATGTGGCAAGTCATAGGTGTTTCATGACGGGTTTTTGCTTATTGTGTCGACGCTGATGCGATGGCAGTTCTTTTCTCCGCATTCCAGCCAGATGATGTTCAAGTGATGTGTCACCTCAGACATGCCTTAGGCGCGCAGTGCGGAAGTGGTTACAAGATGGTGACCAAGTGATTTCTCCAAGAATGACGGTCTTTGCAATGGCTCTAAGCCGAAGCGAGTTCACGGATATTTTTCCTTCAAGAACAAATAAAGCAATCACACCTGGGTGTGTCTCCAAGAGCTAAGTTCACGAACATCTGCGGGTCTTGATTCATCCTTCCTTTGATTGACTTGGGACATATGCACGTTGTGTATATACAGTGATGAATTGCTTTTTCTCAAGGCATGGGCCAGGATGGGAACCGGCTGTCCGAATATTGACTTAGCATTGACTTCGCTTGATGACAGTAGAGGGTTGATGAGAGCGTGCAACAATGGGCGAAATGCAACACGGAAGATGTATTTATGATTCCAATGCTCATACAGCCCTGTAGCATTAAACAACCATTGGTCGGATGTCTTTGTCGGAGACTTCGCTTGGCTTGGGGTCTCTACAAGGCGTGCTCAGACTGTCGCCACGGCGCCTGTGCAAGCGGCATGTGCTGTCTTGGCTGTTTTAAGAGGTCAGCCTATGAAGGAATAGACGAACGACACAAGACACATGTGATAATGTGACGTGTTTCCTTGATATGTTGAACATGTTGCATGTTTCTTCGTGAATGGAAGTAGATGTTAGGAGGGGCCGAGCCGAAGAGCTTCAGTAAGCAAACAGGTACATATTTCCTGGAGATGTGATGATATGTGATCCTGCCTCTGGAAACAACCACTCGTGCGTTTCCTTCTATGGAAGGCTTTTTGCACTTTTGGTTTTGCTGTTTTTGCCTGCCTTTTTTTGCTTGGGGCCCTTCCTCACGCGAAAGCGGAGGGCCTTGATACGTTTGGCACCCCAGGACCAGGGTGGCTAGCAAAAGAGCCGCACCGTGTGGCTATGAGAAGGAGCCATCCGTCTTCCGACAACACACATCTTCCACCTATACACCAGCCACCATTCCGAAGAAGGTGTCCAGCTATTGCCATCTGGCGGGTAGTCCGAACTTCGCTAGCTGGAGGGGGGTGATGAGGCGTTCTCGCCAAGGGGGAGCAGTCGATTCCAAGTGATCCAGCACCTTGCGCTGTAGGTCATGAACCATCATGAACCGACGATTCCGTTTTTCAGTTCGTCGATGGAATATCATGGAATTAGGGTGCCCAGACCGCCACGTGGCCGCGGACACCCCGTCCAACTTCCATCGGCCCATCTGGTCTTGGGGTCCCCCGGTGCACTGTGCGCAGTTTCGCGGGCGGCGACGACGGGGAAAAAGGACCGGGGCGAGCAGGGCGGTTTCGCGGGCGCCTCCCGCTGGCCAGCATGGCTTGTTGTAGCAGGGTACGGCTGGTACAGCATATTGCAATATATTGCGTGTCTCTTCATGTCAAGCGCGCAAACATGGGACTGAAAGGAACGGGACCCAGAACTGCCGGAACTTCAAGTACCATGCTTTGGGACTCATTGGGTTCTGTATCACCTTGGGTGGCCCAGCAGTTTCAAAATGCACCGCGCAAAGGGCTTAAAGGGCCTGATGGATCCCCTTGAAGTGGAGACGATTTTGGAAGCTCCAGAGAGAAAGTCTACACATGTCTATACTAAATTCTGTACACATTGCCCCCCACGTGCACATCTAAACATGCATTGCTGCATTTCTTGTTATACATGCGCACCTAGATTCCTAGATTTGCACATGCACATGCGTCATCAATCCAACTACGTTTTTGTTTTACTGGCCAGTCTTAGCACTACAGCATGGGGAAAATGGAGGTTGGTGGCTGAGAGCTAGTATTTTGGTATGCATCATGGAACCATTTCGTTTGGAAGCGGACCTCCCGCCGAACGACTACTACTGCGCAGCAGTTTGGATCTGGTGGATCCTCAGGTTGAAAGCCAGAAAGTTATACACACATGCAGAGGTCATGGCGAAAATGGTCCCGCCCTCATCTACAGGACCCACCCCAGCTTGTAGAGAAAGCTTTGCACCCCTCACAACTCACCATGGCCTATATTCTTTGTGCACCTGGTGTGCATTCCAAGAAAGTCGACTTAAGCGGCACACCCCCAAATACCAACCACTTGGGGAAGACTTGAGCCATCCGAGTTTGGTTTGGAGGCCGGGTGGGCGCGGGTTGGCGGCCCTCATCTCGCTCTGCGTGACCGCAGTGCTTGGGCACCAGCCGCACCTCTGCAGTACTCGGTGGTTGGCGGGGAACACACAGAAACATGTCCAAGTGTGACTTCGTTGTTTTGTTTTCTTCTGAACCTCTGGGATAGGTTCTGGGTTCAACTATGCCGAGGTGAAAAGCAGATGTGAGCTGCTCATAGCTGCTCCATCTAGCCATCTACTTCACCCTTTTCGGTCTTTTGAACTTGAACCAAGCTTACTGGGCATGTTGGAGGTCCACCGAGATATGAATTTTCTGAAGCAAGAGATCCAGAACCTTATCCAGCTTGATCATCCACATGCTTTGGGTTTGGTGGAGCATGGCATCACCGAAGAGCTGAGCTTCTGAGCAGCTTGGGCATTTCGACCGCTTGGGACGCCAAAGCAGGTTTGGCATGGAGAGTTGAGATCATTTCCACTTTCTGCTGTACATTGCTTTTCCTGAAGAGTGGGTCAGACTTGTCGGTGAATGGAGCCTTGAGATTCAGCAACCAGACGATTCCCGGATTTACCAGGCCTACCACACTTGTCAGCCTACCACCTGGATTTGCACAATCCGACCACCGTGACCGGCCTCCCGGCCTCCCGGCTCAAAAGGCTCGGGACATCGGGCGGTGCCATGCTGCGACTCTTCGTGGTGGTGGTTCTGGTTGCCGTGACGTTGGCCTGGGTCAGCTTCTACATCTATGGGATTGAAACTTGGCGAAGCTGATGCATCCGTATCATCATCCTTTTCGTTGTTGACAATGGTAGACCCCACAGCTCTTTTCCGCACTTGATGTGGGGGGCTCTTCTCCGTTGGGACTGGTCCAGGGTCCAGTGGGTTGAACCGTGCCGGACGTGTTTGCTCCGTTCGGGGCGATTCTGAGTCAGGAACAGCCCTTCTCCTTTCGCTTCAGGAGGACTGATCCGCTCAAGTGATTGCTCACATGTACATCATACATAATATATATATATAATGTTTTTTTGATGATCTTTATATCCATATCATTTATATTTACATACAGGCATCCTGGAGTAGATAGAATATGGAACAATAGAAAACAGGTCCTGCTTTTGGATTGGTTCATGTTCGATGCAGTCTTTTTTTGGGGGGGGGAGCACACACTGTATAGGGGTGAATGGGACGTTGACATATAGATATTCCCCGAACGGTTTTGCCACGCTTTGCTACACTGTGGCCAGTCCACTAAGTGAGAGGAAGCCTGAGGTGCCTGTGGCCAAGATCTCTTGTGCTGACTGGCGGCAAAAAGAGGTGAGCTCAAACCTCACGGACTTCGACATCTGGTATTCCGAACATTCAGACAGGTGCAGAGCGCAGAGTTCATTTCTTTTGTTGCTTGTTTACTTTTTTTAAAAGGAATTCGGGGCCACGAAGGGCCCATAAGAGGATTGTGTTAAGACTGCCTGGGTGGCGGTTGACGCGACTTGGCTCTTTTTTGAGTCTACTCACTACACAAGTTGAACAGCTGCCAGAGGCAGCTAGGCTCCAAAAGACAGAGAGAGAGATAGAGATAGATTATAGATTAGATTAGATTTAGATTAGGATAGATAGATAGAGCGAGGGAGCAATGGAGCAAGGAAGAAATCGCGAGCAAGGGACGGAGAGGGAGAGAGGAAGAGGGTCTGACAATCATGCAGCAATCACTCTTCCTTTGGACCTCACGACTGTGGAAAGTAGAATCCTAGTTCGCGATGCTTTTCACAAGTGCCTGTACCTGCAAGGTGGCTAAACGCTTTCGTGGTCCCAGAGGAAAACCTGATCTTTTGCCAGAGCCCTGAGATGCAGCAGGTGATGTTCTAACTTGTTTTCCAGTGGAATTGGATGTAATAATAATAAGAGAGAGAGAGAGAGAGGGCGCGGCGAAAGCGATTAAACTGTGATGGAGTGCCATCCATCGTCGCAGCATCCATCCAACAGGTGGCCCTTGTCCTATCAACAACAAAAAGGGATCCACATGTGGTCTAATTCGCGGCTCTCTTTGTTGGTTGATTTTCTTTTTTGATCTATTTTCATATTCAAGAAGCTCCTGGACTCTTCGATGGCTTCGAACAGAAGCCGAAACCTTCCTCACAACCTTAGATAAACCGTGTTTTTCCTGATCAAATGTTGGCTGCAGCCGAGCTGCTATACCTTTGCCGAGCTCGGGAGCTCGGAGCGTTGTTTCGCTTCAACTTGAGTCGTCGTGACTGCTCTCGATGTGACCCGTGACGTCGTCGTCGAGCCCTGCGCTCGCCCGCATTTTCACGGGTGGGCATGTTCTGGGCGAGACTGTTCGGGCGAAAAACCGTTGGCTGAAACACCTATTTTCCTTTTCCCGTTGGCTGAAAACCCCAACTCAAAAGGAGTCCTTTGGCAGGGACGTACCTGCCCACCCAGAGCAAAGGATCAAGGAAAGGTCTCTTTCCTCTTCCGCCCATCTTCCACTTCCAAACTGGAGTGCGCTTTCTCCCTGCCCACTCCCAACCTGACGTACTTCTGCACTCCGTCCCAACCCCGAGGATTCAAAAGGTGGATTCTGCCGACTGGTTCGCCGTGCTGCGTTGGCTCAACCAGGGGCAAAACTTGACCACCTTGCGCGACTACGAGCCACGCGGCGCCAAAGGAGTCAGTCCCGAGTCGTGCGTGGTCCGAGGTCGTCGGAGGTCACTGGAGCAGCGCAGGTGGTCCGAGGTCGTGAAGTGAAGCGTTTTTTTGGGGATGTCTGGGGGTCTAGATATGATTATATATAAACCACCAGCAATCTTTCTGGGATTGTGTAATCTCTACTCTGACACCACTGCGTATTGATTCTTCTTGGACCTGGGTTCGGTTCCTATGACTCCTCAGGTCCAAACATGTTGGAATGCGATGTGAGCAACGGAAGGTTTGTGCAATGTATGTGTAGCATGCAGCATACCAGAAATCCTGCCTGGCCACAAGTCCAGGCCTGGCCACTCCGTTGATTCAAGGAATCTTCAGGATGAGGACTTCGCCACTCCAGGCCTCCCATGGCTCGATCCCGGCTGGTTCACCCGGCAAACCCCCGTTCACCGGCGCCGGCCGTTCAGGCGAGGCGAGGCGTTGCGGATGATGTTCGATCCCAATTGGACCAAGCTGGCCGTGGTGCGCGATCCCTTGGATCGCTTGCTGGCGGCCTTTTCCACCAAGGTGGGGAGGCCCCATGCTGTTTGGGCATGTTTGGGCCACCCAAACAGCCAACGGCGAAGCCAGAACACGGACAGAAGCTTTTAGGCACCTGACATTCGTAGCTTGGCACCCCAAAACCCACCCCAAAGATTGAAGACGGACCACAGGTGCCACAGAGCCTGGCTTCGTTGTAGAGTTTGAATTTGTTTTATGGATCCGGTAGAGTTGTTGGGAAGGTATATAGTCGCCCTAAACTATATAGTCACTGAATCGAAGAGGGGGGAACCCGCCATCCACTTGATGCTCAACGCTTCGTCGAATCCGTCGTCTCGTGCATGGGACCCATGGGACGGGATCGGAATCAACGGTCCCGAGAGAAACCAGCGGCCGTATACAGTATGCGTTCGTAGCTTCTTGGCTCCAATGTGGTGTGGCCAGGAGCTACGTTCGTCGCTTCTTGTAGCGCTTCTACTTCTCTTAGTCGAGTCGAAATGCCCTGCCCTTGTTACTCACTCGTCTCGAGGTGAACACCGAAAAGCCTCCGAACAAGAACATCACGGCGGAGGTGGCACGGGTCTCCTGCCTTGAGCGGCATCGTCAAGGTTTTGGCCCCCGGCGAATTCAGCTCAACATGAACCCGACCGAAGTCCAGGTCGACCTATTTGAGGAAGTTCCTTCCGGACGTAAAGGAAGTTCCTGAACTCGGATCATCTAGGGTCTCCGTTTCAATGGTCGAGTCTTGGACGAAACCAGGGAATTCATGCTCATCTTCGTCGAGCAGTCGGACTGGTTTGTGCATCTCAGAGTCGAGACTTTTTTCACATCGATCCGGTTTGGAGCAGACAACATCCATCAGCCACTGTCCCATTAGCACAGTGCTCTTCAACATTGGAATCTACAGCAGCTCGGGTCCTCCTGGTCCTGGTCTGGTGTTGTGTGGATTTCTCAGCAGGTCCACCGATGAACGTGTGTGGAGGTGTTTCATGCGCATGGAGGTCGCAGGAGGTTTGAGCACCTATCGAGTAGCGGTTAGGCTGGGCGAATCCATTCGTTCTTCACCCTGAAAGATCCCCGCGCTCGGCCTGGGTCAGTTACTTCTGCCTATCCCTAGCCTCAACGGAATCCCTTTGGAGGTTCGGCAGGTCACATTCGGAAGAGTGAGAGGGGGCTTGCGGAGGCCATTTGGAAGTTCTGTCTCGGGTTTTCACTGGGACATGGCAACCCTGACGCCTGTGGTACCTCGCGCAACAAGTCTGATGCCAAGACCCCGCACAAGTCTGATCGGGTGCTGGGCCGGAGTCTACGACTACGAAGGAACCATGCCCGACATGGCTGGTTCGCACGGGGCGTGAGTCCAGCACGGTCACGAGATGGTCAAGCAAGATTAAGTGGGTCTTAGACCTCCCCCAAAAACGTTCCGGCCAAATCAGGCTAAGCTCCCCACCTGACCCAGCTCCCCTCCTCCCCCAAACTCCTCCAGCGCTGCCCAGGTCTTGAACGTGCCCTGGCATCGGCTCCGGAAGCGCAAGGTCACCTTTCCCGAGTTCGTGGTGCGGGTAGCCGCTGGGATCCGGGAACGGCTGGTGGTGAGCGACTTCTGGCGCAAGCAGGCAGAGTTTTGCTCCTTGGGGCACTTTAAGAAGACGTACCAGTATCCTGCGGTGGCTGGCAAGCGTTTTTCTTTCTTTCTTTTGGATGACGCGTCTGATTGTACATGTTGTTTTGATTCATTTTTGGTACGCAATATGTTTAGTTAATAGGCCACCCCCTCAAAGTTCCCAAGTCATGCGTTTTATCCATCATGTGTTTGTTTGCAAAGTTTGACCTTTGGGGGTCTGCCCTGTTTTTTGGGGAGGGCTGTGTATGTCATACATGTGTACGAATCGGCGCGAAGGGTCAGAGTATTCTGAGGGGGTCTTCGTTCCAAGTTCGTCACCCGAACGCCTTGGCGGAGTCTGCCATTCTGATGCCATTCGATCCTTCACCTCATCCAGTGCTGCTGAGGTATGTGATGTACATGGACCGTCGCAAGGAGTTTCACCCCTATCTGCACGACTGTGCGCTGCTGGCGATGACCGGACAGATGAGTCATTCCAAGCTGAAGAAGCTGGAGAAGGTAGCGGCCGATCGGAGAGTCCAACCGCACCTTGGGATGAGAGGGCCTGAGAGTCGGGTGAGGCACCTGAGGGACCTGGGAGTCGGGTGGGAGCTGGGGGGGCAGCGGCATGCGGCACGTAGGACCAGAGATGGGAGCTGCAGTGTTGGCAGATCCTTGCCAAGTCTTGTAGACTTGTAGATGTGAAGCCTTTCTTTGGTGGAAGAAGTCTGTTGCAAGGCATGTTCCGAAAGAGCGGACGGTGATGCGTAAGAACGACAAGCCATCCGAAAGATGGGGGAGCACCTTCCTAGGCCCTAGGCGCCCTAGGCGTGAGTGCGATGCGAAAGATTTGCATTCTTTTGTTTCAACTCAGTGGTCACATGAGTTCCAGTTCCAGGTATGTACGGTATGTCCCTATTTGCTGATTAGCAAATCCGAGGTCTTCAGGCAAGAAGTTGAAGGAGTACGACGAGGCGCACCCAGTTCCATGACCAAACCGTTCGACCTTTCGCCCAAATGTTGACGTCGACGAGATCTACGGCCACCACACAGTCGGATGGAGGGACCGGGCTGAAGAGCCTGGAGGGGGCGACTGAGGGGCGTATCAGTTACTGTATCAGGGCGTATCGTGGCGAATCCATACTCCCCTTTCAGGGATGTTCGGGGGCTGCGGGGAGTTGCCCGAGCCGGGCGGTTTGGCGGTTTGGCCCCGTCTCACATTGGTGAGCGCCATGGCTCATCAATGTGCACCCTGTTCGCCGAGACACCATTTGTTCTTAAGAAGTTGAGGTTCTGTCTGAATATTTGGCTGGCAACCGGAAGCAGGTATTGGCTCGAGAAGCTTCGACTCTACATACTTGCAAATCAAGCATTGGAATCATGACTTGAATCTACGTTAGGAGGAATTGCCCGTGCTTGCCCTCCTGAAAACTGATTTTGCTAGCCAATGCTTGAATGGAAAAGGGAGCACCACTGCACCACTGCGTTGGCATTGACAGGTAAAACTCACTTCTGGTTCAGTGGTGAATTGGCATTGGCATGTTTCAACCCCTGAACACTTTCCTGGTTGGGCCCTACTCAAATCCTGTGGTTGTGGTGGCACGTGCAGAGAATGTATATGCGCCTATCATGCATGTCTACCTCAGAGAACCAATGTATGATACGGACCCTCCAAGGGAGGCACCCAGAAAAGAGGGTCGGTGATCCATGTGTTAAGGCCACGTGCTGGCTGCCTCAAGATTCATGTTCTTGCGTTCTGCCACCTGCAGGTGGCATGTGAAGTGGCTCTCCACCTCTACGCTGAGGACTATGAGACCTTTTCTTTGCCCAAGCCCACGTGTCATTCAGAGTCGCCCCATGTGAGGTATCCTCCCTTCAAGCTTGGCATGTACTAATCGCGCGAACGAGCGAACGGCCCAGCGAATGTTGGGGCGAACCTCCATGGGGGGACGGTCAGTCCGTCGACCGCGGCGTCACGGCACGGCACGGCGTCACCAGCGCCGCGACTCGGCCCAACGCTGCCGCGGAGGCGGAGCCAAAAAGGCCGAAACATGGGGGCTCGACCGGATCGACTTCGTGCGGATTCGCCTGGGCACGGAGGCATTGCTCAACTCGGTGAAGCACGGTGGAAGTGATTGCACCTCCCAACCTCACCTGGTCAAGACCTGATCAGCGTTGAAAGGTGCCCATGTGACAGTCCACACGAGCTCAGCAGGTGAACTCACTAGCTAGCTGAGTAAGATGAACTAAGAGTTGGTGGAATTGGTGGAAACAGTTCGTTGCCAATTGCTTCATATGAAGCACGAGAAGAGACACCGGAACGACCATGAGGCAACATCTACAGAACTTCTATTGTCACGACTTGGTTGTCAATTGTCACCACCATGGTTCTTAGTATATAGTTCTGCAGGTCTACAGAAATTCATGCTTGTTCTACAGGTCTATCTCTTGTGCTGCATGGATTGTACCGCAGGTGCCGCGGCATGGCCCTGTGGCCATGTGCACCAGTGGAGCAGCCGAAACAAGCGACCGGTCGCGGCTTTTCGTTGTGTTTTTGTGCGCTTGGGATGATGGGAAATGCAGTGGATCATTTGACCTTGGAGTTGGGTGAAAATGGGTAAAACCATGGTGAAACCATGGTGAAGCAGTACAAGTGTCATCAGTGACGAGCGATGCGATCGTCTCAGTTCCAGTGGTTGCACTGGAAGGTCTTGGTTCGGGGCCGCAGTTGACAGGGATCATACATGCGAACAGGAACCCTTGGACCTACAAAATCCTTCAAATCTTTAATACTATGTTCTTCACCTGTTCCATGTGACATGTCCGTGTGGGCCATAGTAGATTCCGACCGCTATCCTAACGGGGGCCGCCAATGGACCCTAGACTAGACTGGGCTTTGATTGGGCACCCTTTCTCTGACAGTCTTCCTGCTAGTTGGCGCTGCGCCACATGATGCTCATGGAAGCTTCGCTTGTACCACTGGCTTGGCTCCAGCTTGCGGCCCTTCAAGTCGCGCATGCGCGAGTCATGAGTCGAGCGGTGGTTTTGATGCCAGTCATAATCCTTCCCTTGGAGACACGACTGGCTCCCAGATATGATTGAACCAGCCTGATGATTGAGCACTTGTTTTTTCCTAGTCGGACTTTTAAACTAGCAAAGGATGAAGGACATGCATGCGGCCCAGCAGCATAAAGTTAAAGTAGTTTTCTTTAGCAACGCCACCTCACTCTCCGCTTGATGGGGAAGAAACCGATGCTCAGCTGAAAAAAGGTTTGTTGGCGATGCAGCACGTGACAGTTGGACTACACGACATTAAACGTGGAAAGTCATCCGTTGGATTGACTTCGAACATGGACCAACATCGTGAACGTAGGCCTTATTGTAGGTACTGTCATTTTCCATGCTTCTCATTCTCTGAAAGGTGGGCCCACGTGGGCAGAAAGAAGAACCTGGTCCAGCACGTCGAACGTGCGGGATGGTTTGTTCTTTCTGGAAGTTAGCAGAGCACGTGGGCATCCAACGGGCGATCTTCCCCTTAAAGCCTTACAGGTCAATTCCATTCAATTCCACTGGTTCACGATACCTTGTCTAGACAGAAATGTGCAAAGTTGCTCTGGTTCTTGTAGGAGGCAAGAGTAGAGTTCACTTACACCCTGGAAGACTAACATGGACCCTGAAAACCACTGGTTGGTAGAGGAAAACACTCTTCCGGGGGGCCATTGTCAGGGTCTATGTTAGTTTTCGGGAGTGTACTGACTTCCTGTACATGGACCTTGGGAAGTTCGACCCTAAACAGTGGTTTTTTGTTCCTGGGAATCTTCGTCTGCAGCTGGCCGACTGTCTTACCTGGAGGAGGGGGTACTTTATTACATGTACTTGGAATTCAATTGGCCCCATGTTTTGATAGTCCAATTCCCTGTGTTAGGTTGATGGCTTGGCAGACACAGGGATCTACAAGATGCGAATCCAGGGATCGACCACGTTGACCCTCCCCCGGAACTGGAAAACCCGCCGATGGGTCGTCACCATCCTCGGCTTCAGGAAGGCCAAGGCCGAGGAGCCGGAGAAGCCACCGGCGGAGCCGGCGGAGCCCTGGCTTTGCGGAGAGTGTGAGCAGGACGGTGGGGTGGCGAGAGGCTGGGGGTATTGAGGTGCAATCGGGTTGATCGGGGGCTTGGAAGGAAGAGGCTGGGATGGGTGGCTCATGCGCGGATGCGATGCATGAATTCTCAGAGCTTTTTCTGACCAGCTGGCGTAGCGCTTTGGGTGACTCTTTGGTGGACCCACTAAGAAGGCTGGTCATGGTCTAGGTGTTCGGTGAATTTCAGCAACAGCTATGTCGTGATCGCAGGAGAATCCTGCAGAGGAGCTGGCCTGCATTGCTTGCGAGGCGCACGAGTCCTTTTTTTTGGGATGATGAGGGCAGGACGAAGAACAAAGTTGTATTCAGAAACTGCGCTGTATTCAGAAACTAGTTTTCAGATGTTTTCAGAAACTATTTCGTTGGTTTCAGAAACTGTGGGATTCAGAAACTTTTCTCATCGTATTCAGAAACTACTTTGTCGTATATATATATATATATTCAGAAACTATTATTCACGAAAGGTAGCTTGAGCTACCTGAGTTCTCCTTGCTTTAGCAAAAATGTATTACAATCAGGAGTTGGGATTGTGCATTGAGTTTGGTCCTGTAAGAGTTGATTCTGTTCGTCCGGGGGGGGGGGCCCCCCCTGGATCAAATCCCCCCTGCGCCGGTTCACGCCGTCATGGACTTCTACCAGGGTTACTTGTGATTGCCTGCTACCTTTCGTTCACCCCCTCCTCTCTCAAGTTTGTTGTATTCAGAAACTATTTTCGTGGTATTCAGACACTATGTTCCTCGTATTCTGATGTATTCTGTAAAATTTGTGGGGGTGGAGTGGGGGGGGGGGGAAAGCAATAAACGGGTAGTTGTGTGAAAAATTGATGATCTCCGTGAATCGTGTTGGTGTTGCTCTTCGTAGTTTCCGAACATTAGTTTCCGAATGCAACCGTCCAGTTTCCGAATACCAGTTTCCGAATACAACCGTTTAGTTTCCGAATACAACCGTGACAGGGGTTGATCTTTATACTGTACACTCCCTGCAACTAACATGGAAGTGGACATGGCCCCTTACAGTAGAAAAGCATTTTCCTTGACAAGCAGACGGTGTTCACTTCCATTTTAGTTCCAGGGAGGGTGTAGATCTTTTCTTGGCTGCCAAAGGGTTGGCTAGTCCGAGGTCATCCGAGCTCATCTCAATGTTGAAGGGCATTCTCCGGATCCAGAGGTTCAGCCAATGGATTTTCCAGAAACTCTTTGCAATCTAACGTAGACGGTAGACTCTATATAACCAGAAGGGCTATTTATATATGACGTCTCCATATTTTTCTGGAAAACTCGGGTGATTATTTTTGACAGCCCATGACGCTGATGACATTTTGAGGTGAGCAGGTGTGGTGCCGACTGAAAGGAAAAGAGGGGCAAAACCATGGCTTTGGCTCATTCACATTCATTCACAACCATGCTGACGTTCGAGCCGTGTCCCTCTTGAAGGAGGAAAGAGACCAATTTCGCACCCACGTAGGCGCCTAAGCCAGTGTCCGGCGATGGCAAGTTCGAACACTTCGCAGTGGCCTTGGTGAAGACCTGTGAGCCGGTCCCCGGCAAGGTGGACGCGCCTTCTCCGCGCCGCACAGCACCAGCGTGAACCGCGAACGCACCGCGCGAAGCGGGGGGGGGGAAAGGACCGATGGTCATTGCAGAGGTCGAAGGCTGGTGGATTCTGTTAGATAAGATAGTTACGCACGCGGATACATATATAGAGATAGACATACAGATAAATACACACGCATAACTATATATAGACATACATAGACCTATGTATATAGACATACATATTGATATAATATACATATTGTACTCTCTTATGATCTTAGAACCCATGGGTCCCTGTTGTGATAGAAAAGACCATGCTGGGGAGTGGCGGTCCAAAATAGGTCTCTCAGGTTCTAGGATTCTATAGGTTATGGGTTCATGCCGCTCACACGTTTTTGACCAAATTGTTGGAGGACAAGCTCAAGAAGCTGGAGGTTGATGTCGGAAGTGAGGAACTCTTGAAGATTGTCACCAACGCCTCAAACGTCAAGGAGCCGGCAAAAGACATCGTTTCATTGATTCATTCCCACAGACTGATCCAAGGGAGTCTCCCAAAATTGGAACTTGATGTGCTACATTGTGCTACTGTATCCTTCTACCAGAAATGAAGGGTTTGCATCTTTTTCCTAGTCGCTCTATGGTTCTGGCAGGCAAAATGGTTGGGGCGGGGCGGGTGATCCTTTTATACTCCAACTTCGGCTGCAGCTGTGGCGGCAAAGGCCACCCATGGCCAGTTGAGAAGGGCCACATGACACATAGATTCATAGATCGTCAATCATCACGATCAAAGGCCCCGCAAGACTCGGTGGCCCTACCCTCCGGCATTGATGCCATTTGTCCCGAAGGCCCTGAAGGCTGTTCGTCCAACATGCGGGGCCCCGTTATATATATATATATACACAAATACATATTATATACACACACCTAATTATACATAGCTTTATAAAGAAATATACATATTGTATATAAATATATGTGGTCATAGTCATAGATGAAGTTAGAACCAGCCCGAATGTCAACAGTTTTCCAGCGCCGCGTTCGGCATGGTTTTCATCCACGAACCATGTGGACATACTAACCCAGTACTCCACAAACTCTAACTTGTCCTGGATTAGATGGCCAAGTGCTAAGCACATTCAGAAGATGCCTAGCGCTTCCCACTGAGGGGGGCCCCGTCTCGGAAGCAGCTGGTGTGTATCCCAGACACTATGTATGGAATATATGCTGCCCCATTGACCCCTTTCTCAACCACCTCCATGCCTGCACGCCAAGTTGGCAGTTCCATGGATGATTCGAATAAACTATTGCACGTGTTTCACCTGGGCACCCAGCACAGTTGGGTGAATTGATGTGAATCAGTCCACACATGTCCATAGGGTTTGTACATGCACACACCCCATGCCGTCCGATTCCAGGAGGGCAGCCGCGTGGTGGTGGCCAAGGTAGGCGCCATCATCGATGGGGAGCCTCTCAAAAAGAGCGTGGCTGGGAGTCCCAGATAGGTTGGATGAAGAGTGAGAGTGATGAGATTTAGGGGACTTAGACTTAGACGCCTTCTTTTTTGGAAGGTTGAAGTCAAGAACCCCAAAAAAACATCAAAACACCTTTCACCTTTTTCCAGGGTATGAGAAACAGATTCCTTCTTGATCCTCCTAGCTCGGACTTCCCAAAGCCATCCAAAGCCACTGTCACCTTGAAGTGGACCACCACGCTAGGACCGGACGTTTGGACCAAACCACGGGGCCCCACTGTTCATCTCAGCCCTGTGCGCCGTCCCTGCAGCCGACCGGCTCCGAGCCCTCCTCCGCATCGCTGGCCCCACGATGCCGACGCTGAGCGAGCAGAAGCGGAGGCGCCGCGAGCAGCTCTCGCGCGAGCAGGCCAGCATGCAGCGGTGGTGGGAGAAGGCGCCGACCATGCCGGGGGAAGCCTGCACGGCCGCCCAGCGGCGGCTCGCGGAGAAGGTCGGGATCGAGAACGGGGGGCAGGTCGGGATCGAGACCGGCGCCGAGGCGAAAGACCACGACATTCGGCCTTAAGAGCCTGGTCGAGGAATATACTACATATGAATCTATATGATATTATATGTACAATATATATGTATATTTACATATGCATGTGTATGTCCGTGTGTGTGTGTGAATGTGTGTGTTGGTCTGTTTTTCTTCTTCCAGGACGTCATTTTTGGTTTTGCGTTAGAGTGAATGCAAGGATTCGGGATTCGGTTGATTGGCCCTTGATGGCTTTTGGCCAGGTCAGCGTTACAAGGTTACAGGGTTGATGTGCAACCTTGTTCCATCGAATGCCGGTTCCTACAGCACGTCTATTCCGCGCGCGGAAGGAGCACTATACTGGTGCCTGCCGCCTTTTGCAGAGCAGCAGCTTGTCCAGGATTGGTCTCGATGCTGGCGATTATTGCATCAGCCCACCACTGCAGGCTGGGTCTCGGGGTTCTGTGCGAGCTCTGAATGTTTTGCATTTTCCTTCATCCGTCTCCATGGGTGTCAGGCAGAACACTTTGGCCAAGGATGAACGAGTGGCCAAGGGTGTTGTCGGCATAGCTACTTCAGTAACATGCGCACTGAACTGCACCAACAGTCCCTTGTCGGCCTCACGGTCGAAGCTCAAGCCCAGACAGCCGCTTTGACTGCCATCAAAAGCGTGAGGCAACGCGACTCTTGGCATCCCGGAGCCACGAAGAGCTCACCATTCCGAAGCGCGGCGCGGACTTCCGCGCGGAAACGGAGTGGCGCTTGCACCTGCGCCCGGCCTCGCCGTCGGGGCTCGGCACCGCGCTGCCGCCCATCTCCGCGGCCCCGCGCGTGGCGCGGCGTGGGGCGGCGATGGCCGTGACGCATGGAGGGCCCTGGCGGAAGCAGGGGATGTGAAGTGGAGAAGCGGGATCAAGACCAGGTGAAACTTGAGGCCAGAAAAGATCCGACACGCCTGACTGAGAGTCTTTTTTGAGTTCAGAAGATCGCAAGGAGAATGTGACATCAGGAGCAAGGATGAAAGGATCATGAATCATGACACGAGAGCAACGGAGCCACACCGACACGACATGACAGGTCTTGATCTCGTACCCCCACCCAAACCAGGCCATGCAAGTGTCAAACACTTGCGGTCTTGTGCCGTATTTCCTAGGTCCTAGGTAGGAGGGCAGATCCGCGTTCTTTTCTCGGGGGGAATATCCGCACCTGGGGAAGAAGAGCAGATCTCAAGAAGAACTTTTGCTGTTTCACCGGTGGCATGTCACCGCCGACGTGGGGCGATGTACTGGTCGCCGTCAGAGACCCGAAGACGTGGATGTTCCCAAGGACGATCAAAGAGGCGCTTCGAACTCACGGCGGCGGTGGGATGTGTCCAAAAGGATCTGGTTTTGGGAGGGTTGTGGGCCGGAGCAAGGACGCTAGGAACGGGGCGCTCCTGGCATCGCTACGAACGGAGCGATCGGACGCGTCCGTCGTCGTAGCCGGTTGCCTGCCACCCAACGTTGTTTTCGGGCTTACCGATTCAGACGGCCCAGTCGTTACACAGATGACGAACACATCGACATGGAAGTGGAAATCATGCGCCTCTTGGAAGACGACTTTCCTCACACGAAAACAGTAGGTGCCATCCACTTCCCATGTGATGGTGTTCGTTGGAGTGTCGTGCCGGTCCGCCGGTCTCTCGGTCTGTTCCGGCGATCTGCCAGGGTGGATAGGCGAAGGCGGAGATAGGCCATGCATGGCGCCAATGGGAGTGCAAGACTATCCAAACATATCTAAACCAGCAGTCACAAAGGCCTGGGGTAGTGTTTGGTCATGTTTTGTCCCATCCAGTGAGTGGATGTTCTGGGCACCCCTAACCTCCATTAAGCACCCCTTTGTGACTGCGGAACATGTTATTAATGTTCGACTCTTTGATTAATCGCCCCACCATTTGAATTGAACATCCTCTTCATATGGGGGGTGTATGGTCTTGAAGAGTCTACATGATTCTGTATTGCAAGAGAAGGAGTTTCCGTTGTTTTGGTGGTGACCATGGGCAATTGCAGTTGAGACTGGACTTCTAGGCGGTTGCTCAACCGCTGTAGGTATATGGTAGTCTATATGTCTACTGTCCATATGATATATTCTATATAAAGCCTTGCCATCCACGTGTGGAGTGTCGTTTCATCGGCCTTTGGAGCACTCGGCGGTGATGAGCTGAAGCATACACGACCTCTAAGAGTACACGAACACGAGGTCGTGGATTCTGCCTTCCTTTCCATGTTCAAGAATCGCGATGGATGACCGGGAAAGAACGAGCCACTAAAGACTTTCCTAAAGACTTTCCCGACGACCTTGTTTTGAAGTGGGTGATGGGAAAGTCACATGAAACGACGCATCCAGAAACGACCAGAGGTCGCTGACACAACACTGAACCCGAAACGAACGGAACCTGAAAGGATGCATGCTTCTGAACGGAGCCCAGGTCGGCGGCTGCCCCTCTGAGGGAATGCTTTGTGAGACTTGGGCCGAGAGTCGACCCGAGTGGTGCCAGTCCCCAGGTCCCAGTTGCAGCAGGTCAGTGCTGACCACTGTCCTGGTATTTTTTGTGTATATAGCCTATAGCATATATTTGTAGATATTGTCTAGACCACACCTAGTAGATAATGCAAAAATTGTATATTAATATATATATATAGTATAACATATACCATATAAAAATATTGCACATATATATATATATATATACACATTATACGGTTCGGGTGCCCCAAAATCGTGCGTCAAAAGGTGCCACCTTTGGAGTTGGACTCTTGCAAGTCTGCCAGTCCCAAGGACAGCGCCATGCTCGGCTGGTCCGGCGGTGGCTCGGGCGCCGCGCTGCTCCCGGACACCTTCGCCCTTGGCGGTCCGCCGCCCGACGCGCGGCCGCGCACGGATGGGAAGTGAGCGGCGCGGCGCGGGCGGTGAAGGCGATCGGAGCGACCCCCGGCCAAAAGTCACCGGCGAGGCGTGGTGCGATCGGAGCTGAGGTTGGCGGATGAAAAAAGGGGAAAGGTGAAGAGAAAGGCGAAGGGATGCTCACTGACGCAAGGAATATATAAATCAGGTGAATGGCAGAAGGAGTTTGATAACTACAATCGAAGGACCTTGACTGCCCAGCAGCATTACGGATTTTTAAATTCAATAATTCAGGGATTTTGCTGGTTTCTAACTCTTGCCATGTACTGTACTAAGTGCATCACGCTTGCTTTACCTTTGGCAAGTGAAGTGCAGGCACCGTTCTGTTCATAATCTTCCGCTTGAAGCACTCCATTGCAACTCCCTGAATCTTGCGGACGGTAGATTTCTTAAAAATAATCCACACAAAATTCTCCCCATACCAGGACCATCCATGAGATGTCTATAATTAGCCTTTTACTATAGAGGTGATATAAGGGGTGTGCATGGTTGTCACCAGACTTGGAAGGTCCCCGAGCTGAGCCTTTATGATCTGTGGCCGAACCGGCCCTCCGAGCTGAGTGTGGTGTGCCAAGCCAAACCGAAAAGTTTGCTGCTCAAGCATGGAACGAATCACAAGAGGCTCGATGAAACGAACGGACCCCCCGGGCAGGTCTCCTTCTAAGAGGTTTGCCGACCTGGAGCTAAGGCGTTGTTCTGGGTAGCGAAGAGGCAAATACCATTTGATTTAACGTGTCTATCAGTTTCTTTTGAGTGGAACCGCTGGTTAAGCCGACCAGAGTACCAAAGCCACATTACGGGTGTTGTGCCCAACTCCTGCGAAGTGCCATGTGCCTTCCAGCTGTTCCAACGCCTTCTGCGCCTGCCATTTTAGCTTACCAGCTATCAGCTTGGCACCCAGGGGGTCATTGACATCGGGGGGGGACGGGACGGGACGGGACGGACTAAGTACGTGGCGAATCACCGGAACTCCCTTGACATGACCAATTCCTTGTCTGGAGACGATGTGAAGCCCATCCATGGGGATTCATGTCACTGAACAGCCTCGTTCACTGCCGAACACGCTTGGCGAGGTGCATGTTTTTTCTTTCCAACCGCTTGGCTGCCTTGTCTGTTGAGTCTGAAGGGCCTTACATGCCCCACACCTCACCCCACCGCGCCATGCCAATTCGTGCCGAGCCAGGACCTTTTTTCCTTGGTCATTTGTGGCTACATTGGTGGCCGCTGCGTGCAGCTCAAGTACCCTGAGCCACTGTATGGTGGCGGCCTCAGGAGTCATGGAGCACACGGGCACACTCGTGATCTTGGGTGGTAGCTATCATTCCAATCACTTCCAATTCCTTTCTCTTCGGAGCTGAGGCTTGGCTTGGGGTGATTCTTATTTTCCGTATTGGCCTATGGCATCCTATGGCTGAATCCTCTTAATGTTTTCCGGCTTGAGCAAACCCAAGAAGAGGTCCAGCATTCTTCAAGGTTGTTTCTCTTTCTGTGGCTTGGTCGCCAGGCCCTCTCCCGGAAATTCCCAAGTCAAGCCATGCTAAAAAGAGATCAAAACTGCTCTGGTGATTTGCACGGAGTCTAGAAAAAAGGGGATTCTGTTCCCCCAACCTGGGACAGGGCAGGTGCTGTTCCGTAGAGGTCACGCCTGGAGGTGGTTCCCACGAGCTACGAATGTTTCAGCCGGTTCTAGGACCCTGCAGACTGCAGATGGAGAACCCACACATGAGTTCCTACCATATGCAAAGCCGAAAGCTGCGTGGAAAGGTGCATGTCCACATCATCAGGATTTTTCAGAGTACATGGTCTGGGACGCGGCTATAACACGGAGCACCACATGTGAATGACAAAGAATCATCTTGATGCATGGTGAATGAACACGTCTGGCATACAGTGGTTTCAGGGTAGATGGCACAATCCCCAAGGTCGGTGGTTCATATGGACCCCATCTACAAAGACATCGAACGGGGTGCCAGTGCCATCTAGGTACTCCGAAACCACTGTAATCAGTCAACCAAATCGCTCGCGGTGATTGCCTCAGGGCTCACACATTTCGGTGACCCCCCATGACCTCCACCATCAGTCATCCACTATCAGTCATCATGGTAGAAATGACTACTGTAGACTCTTGATGAATCACCCTCCAATTGAACAACCTCCTCATATGAGCTGGCGAATCAAGAGTCTACGGTCTTTCCGTTTGCCCAGGCAACCTTTGGCTGCACGGTCTGTTGAGCGCCCTGGTGACCGCCTTTGGCGGCGGCACGGGCTATGTGTTGCTCATGTCCAGGCACGGCCTGAGAAAGAAGCCGGAGAGGTGGGGTGGGAGCGAAGGTGAGGTGTTTATAATAGGGTTTCGGACATGGTGTTTTTTCTTTTCGGGGAGGCTCCTTTAACATAGGTACTCGGGAGTATAGGATATTATAGGTGTATGGTGATGGCATGTATTTTGACTATAGCTGGTGGGAGTAGGATGATGTAGGAGCCAACCATGCGCACCATTGGTCAGTTAGAGTCTTGAAACGGGTGTGCTACTGCTGACGGCAACTGTGGCAGAGTGTGTCAAGCACCACACAGGCCATACCATACCGTGCAATGAAGCAACGTCAAAAGCGGCAAGGCGTTGGCATACCGCAAGGAGGAATGGTAAAAAATAAAGTTCTCGGTTCAAGGCCGCATTATCGATTCGGGGATCATTTCCCATAGATTCCGTATAGTCGTCTTCACACATCACACCAGTGCAAAAGCGGTTGTCTTTGCAAAACGCAGCCAAATTTGCTTGGGATGCCCACACCGTCGTTCACCGTAGTTCACTCTGTTCGCTGTTCTTGGTTCAAGAAACTTGCGTTGAAGGATCATCATCATCATCATCATCATCATCATCATCATCATCATCATCGCTGGTTCTAAGTACGTGCCCTTCGGTTTACGTTGAAGATAGTTTTTGCCGAAGAGAG